CCCCACCATCTTCACTACCAAAGCTAACACACCCTTGCCTCCATCTTAACCCCCACGACCCCCTCCTCCCTGTCCACCCTCTGCCCCTGGCCGTAGCCATCGCCAAGCGAGACGGGGCTCGAGTCTTGCACGAGCTGGAGCGCCACGTTCTGCCCGTACTCCTCCGAGCTGTAAGGAAGAAAGGACCAAGAGGGGATAAAATTAGATTATACGGAGAGCACCGTAGGCAAAGTGCCGGCAAAAGTCAAGTGTTATGAGTTCAACCATTTCGCATGCAGCATAAGAATGTCGGAACCAAGTCCTGCCCTCCATTCGCGGTTCATGAATCCCTTTTTCACAATCCGCTCCACTTGTCTGCCATGTCCTCCAACTGCATGTACGACCTTGCCTCGCATGGATGCATTTAAGGCTTCCCAGGCGAGAGCCACCAGACCTTATGCCAGCGCATATTCAGCCAAGCAGCTACCTTGCCGAAGCCCGACTGTCGCGTTAGGATGCTGTCATCCGTCTCCGCCAGACCCATCATGTCTGCCGCCGCTGCTGCCAGGCTCTCAGCCATCTCTCCGCTCTCAATGTAGTCGGTCAGCCAATTCTTTGCGTAGAGGACGTGCCGACTCGGCTCTGTGGAGGTATAAAAAAGAGGTCCTGCCCGAATTTCTCGAGCGCAAGCTCTTTCAGCCTTAGAGACTCCGGAACTAGGTACCATACCACCTTTGTGGTCTCGGGGGTTCGTTTATGGTGCTTTAGCTCGCGCACGCATCGGACATAAGACATATAATCGTCGAGGCTTAGCTGTTTCGCCTTCGCTGGCTGGTTGAAGACCGAGTCTCCCACGCGGATCTGGATGCCTTATGCGCAAGGTACTCCCCGCCTCCAGCATGGCCCCTTTTTCCGTCCTCATCGTTTGGTTAGTGTACGGGGACGAAAAATTTCTCGGCGAGTTGCCAGCCGGCTTCGTCCCTGGACGGAAGTGGTGCTGCTGCTGAATGCAGTCGTAACATCACTTTTACAGTTTGGCATTGCACCTGATACATGGAGGGTGATATGATGAGTTACAAATCAATGCCAGCATCGGCCATCGTGATGGCCACCCATGAATTTCAAACGAACACAACCGTCGCTCAAGATGGCTTCAAAATAACGTGCGTGGGAAATGCTTTTCGTCTGTATGCATGTTTCAGATACAAGAAGGGTGCGAGACTGAGAGATGGCAGTATCGAGGCAAAAGATAACATAGAAACGAGTTCGGCTGCGAGATAAAACAAAATTTAATGATGTCAACTTCGGCTGATCAGACGTCCAAGACGGAGAATGTCATGACTAGGCGACTTGGAGGCGGAGCGCGTTTAGAACTGATAGCCTATGTAGGGGACCGTGACGACGGGGGCGCACCAGCCTGCAGCGAGGGGCGGGGGCCAACGAAAGGGCTCCACTTGTGCCTCGGAGGTGGGCGGGGGTCCGCCCAAGTGCAGGAGGAGGAAGCAAAATGTGGGCGACATTTTTCTGGTAGCGCCAGCATCATCGACACAGATATCAGTGGGTGGTAGAGACGATGGGACTGCGGCACCACAAGGTGTTACCCAACCTCCAGAGGAACCTGTTCAAATCGCCTCGGGGAGGGTAAGGAAGAGGGGATGCCTAACCCGACGGCTGGTAATCCATCTCAAGAATTACGGGGATGAAGTTCGGCAGATGAAGGACCTGCGCTCAGTCAAGCAGATGAACAACGTAGTCGAAGGGGAGCGAGCACGCGAGGCCAGCGTGAAGACTATTTGAGCGTGATAACAAGTGTCGTGTGATCGTTCCAACTTGACTGAAAACCAGTAACCTATATTTATTTTCGTAAATGTCTAATGTTTTCAGCGCTCTATGGGTAGATTTACTCCCAAACTATGCCTCCTCTGACGAACGGAAGACGGAGGATATCAGCACTAGGCGACCCGGATGTTGGGTGCCTACCGAGAGTGGGCAAAGTTGGCGACCCAGGCAGGAGACGCGAAGAGAAACCAGCGAAAAAAGGCGGCCACCCGGTGGAAATGGGCCGACAGTTGTATTCGTCGATCGAGCGCTCGTTGGCAAGACACGGGCAATGAATTCGTTTACTTGTATGGTCTTACAGGGGAGCAGTGAATGCATGGCAAACGCTGCACTTACAATCGTGGAGATTCAACGCCCGAATCCACAGCGGATGATATACTGATCTTATGGTGCACCCAGGCGGTGCGGGGGGATTGACAAAACAGCGCCCACGACACCGTCCGCACGCCTGCAGCGTCGCATGTGGCTTGCTTCTTGCGTTGCCACGTGTCGAGAGGGTCTGGACAGGTGTGGCTGCCAGCGGACGCGCGTCCTGGTTCCGGTGGGCATGCGTTATAACCTCCATCCCCCCCCTTCATTCAATCAAACCCCTCTTTATCACCCCACGACCCACCAGGCACTATGTACCGCCGCATCACTTCCCTCTTCTCCTTTCTACTGCTCAGCAGCCATTGCTGGATGGCCTCGGTGTGGGCGCTTGTATCCCCAGACGTCCCGCGCTGCAGCTTCCCCCCTGGCGATTATGGGCGGGTCGTCAAGGACAGCAACGAGCTCAACTCGATCCTCAGCTTCTGGACGACGCAACGCGGCGCGTGTCAAGGTTTGCTCCGTCTCAAAGCAGGGCGAACCTACCACTTGAGCCAAGAGTACGTGTTTGACGGGCCCTACAACATCAAGCTCACCGGCGGCCAGCGCGGGGCAGCAGCAAAGGCGTCCTTAGCGGCGCCCGCCACCATCGTCAAGGCGTCGACTGCGGTGCGCCACTTCAGCTTCGTTGCAGGCGCGCGGATAGCAATGAAGGGCCTGCGCTTCCTGGGTTCGGAGATGCCCGGCCTGAGAGTGCCCGCCTATTCGCAGCTTTGCCCCACGCCCTTCACATCCCAGCCCCAGGACTTCGGCGGGGCCATCCTCCTCTACAGCTGCCCGGGCCGCAGCCGGAGCCAAGGCACTTTCACGGGCGTGGAGTTTGCTGGCAATCATAACCGCGTCGGTGGGGCGGTGGCGGCGGGGCCGTGGTCGTCTACACGGTTTGATCGCTGCCGTTTTGTCCAGAATGCGGTCCAAGGGGTCTGCAATTTCTATAAGAGCAGGGACGAGTGCACGGGGACTGGCGGGGCGTTGGCGCTTTTCGATGATACCTATGTCAGCGACTGCACCTTCGAGGGGAACGCGGCCGCTGAGGGTGGCGGTGGCCTGTACTTCTGCCCGCGAGGCGATAGCTCGGTGGTGACAGTGGAGGGCTCCCGCTTCTATCGAAACACCGTGGGCTTCTACGGAGGGTAAGTTTTGCTGTAGATGACTCAGACCGATGAAAAGCATCGTCTCTCTCTCTTTCTGGCAAGAACGTATGAAAATTGCACCCGATACATTCACCCAATCACACAGAGCCATAGCACTCGAGGATATGGCCACATTGAGCGTTGACTTCCCTTGCGGTTTGGGGGCATTGACAGTTCGCGACAGCGAATTCGTGGGGAATGTGGGGGTCAATGGAGAGATCTTGGGTGGCGGTATCTACAACGGGCAGACTCTCTATCTTAGCTGCTCATGGGTCGTAGGCAACGAGGCCATGGACGCCTCCGGACTAAGCTCCACTTGGGGTGGCGGGCTGTACGTGAGAGGGATGGCTGGGATGGGGGAGTGGAATCGCAGTCCGCCGTATTTCTGAAACTTTTCCGTGCTCTTTCCCATTCGCACGCTAAATCTTTCTACAGGTACCTCTCCGCTCACACTACCCCCTCTCGGACGGCCATCCGCGGCGTCGTTTTCGAGCTGAATAGCGCCGACTACGGGAACGACATCTTCGTGGAAACGGGCAGCACGCTGACGTCGGTCGTCGTGCGCTCATGCGAGACGCTGCAAGTCTCGTCGGCTACAGTGTTGCCACAGTGCGAGGACCTGAGCTGTGTGCGGACCACAGACAACGCGCAGTGGGGCTTATTGACCAAAAGCCGCAGAAATGCGACGAGCACCTGCAAGGCGCTGTGCAAGAACGCTACCCCACCGCAGGAGAGTGCGCAGTGTTACTACATTGCCCCGCCCCTGCCTGCCTCCGGGTTTGTCGTGGCTTAAAAGAAGACGTGGCATAACCAATCCATGAAAACGAAGGGACACCATCTTTTTTCATCGGGGGAGGGTGAAAAAACACCAGGAGAAGGGAAATAAATCGACCAGTATCGATGTTAATGTACCAAAAGCAATAATGACATCTTCATATGTATGCATGATACGTGTAGATGTTGCTTTATGCGCTTATGGTACCACAAAGATCTCGATGCGAGCCTTGCCCGTGCCTGGATTGCCGGGAAAATCACTGACACCGTAAGCTTTGAGCACTGATTTGACGTATGGACCAGGTTCCGCGGTCCCAAGCGGCGTGAATTTGTAGTGTGACACTATCTTTCTTTATCGAGGGAGGGCGAAAAACACTAGGAGAAAGGGAATAAATGGACCAGTATCGATGTAACTATACCAAAAGCAACAATGAAGTTTTCGTACGTATGTATGGTACGCGTAGATGCTGCTGCATGCGCTTAGGGTACCACAAACAGCTCGATGCGAACCTTGCCCGTTCCTGGATTGCCGGGGAAAATCACTGAGCATGTGGGCACAGTGTACGGCTGCACGACATCGTACGCTTTGAGCACCGGTTTGACGTAGGGACCAGGCCCCGCGGGCCCTAGCGGTGGGTAGTTATAGCAGGCGTCGGCTGCGGCAGGATCGGCCTGATGCGGGTCGCAGGGTGCGTTGGCGCAGTCTTCGCCCATGCAGTACGTCGAACAGTCGGTTTTCGTAGCGGCACCGCCCTCCCAGTAGCCCTCGCAGGCAATCTCGCCGCGTGGAGACCAGAGGCGGATACCGTAGCCCGGGTTGCCGAGCGCTGTGTCGTAGGAGGCGCTCTGCTTCCCCGCGATGGGGAAGCCCGTCGCACTTGCGACCGAAGTCACGCGCAGCGTGACACTGAACGTCCCCGTCAAGTCCGTATTGCTCACGTCGACCTCGTACGGGGTGTAGTCCTGCCCCACCACCGCGCTGTTGTTATTCCCCGTGCTCGGCCGGTACCGCACGAGCTGGCACCATGGGTTCAGGCAGGGCGGTGCGGATGAGTCCCGCTCTGGGATTGTAAAATACTGCTTGAAGCCCGGGGAAACGCCGTAGACCCCCGCACCGTCGGTGTAGTACATGGGCACCTGGACGCGGGGATTGGCCGTGCTCGGGGGACCTTGCTTGACCGTGGGGAAAGAGCTGTTACTGCTGGGTGAGTAGAGCGTGGGAATGCCCATGTAGTCTTCGGGTAAGACCTGTGCGTGGAATGAGCATGCAGGCATTGCAGTGAGAAACCTGGTCTGCTGAAGACAAGTGTTTATAAGTTTGGATAAAAAGTAGTGCGCTCCACGACTGTTTACCTTACGGCATGAGCTGATGTTCCAAGGTGTGCGGTTTTCGACAAAGACCACATCAGGGCCCCGGACACACATCTCGCTGAAGTTCTGTGGCGCTTGGGAGGAGGGCGCCGTGAGCGCCAACTGCCCCGTCTGCTTACAGTAAATGCCCTGCTGCCCGCCCATGCATGGTCCGTTCGGCTGAATGTACCTGAAGGTGGTGCGTTTGTAGGGTAAGGGCTTTTTGAAGGCTTGAAAGGGGGAGGGGAAAGCGGGAGCACAAATATGGTGGAATGACAAGCAAGAAAGGCCGCAACCCTCCATACGCACCGGCGGCCAAAGCCCATGAAGGAAGGAATGGGATCGCCGGTGGAGAGTGACCAATAAGCCGAGCCGGCCCAAGCGTTGTCCCACTGCGTCTCGTAATAAGGGGCACGGCAGGCGTATGGACAATACCCCCCGATGTTGCACCCGTAGCCACGGCTGGGAAGCATGCTCCACCCGCCCGTCCAGGGATGGCTATCGACGTACACCGGTCGCGCCGCATCCCAGGGCGTCTGTTGCTCCCAGCTCGACGAGAGGGGCAGGAGCAGGTTGTCGGGGTCGAGGATCGGGTCCCCGTTTGGCAGCGGACACACGCCCGGCTGCTGGTAGCGGGTAAATTGCGGGGTCGGCAGCGGCTCCAAGGGGGTTAGGCCGCTGCCCGGGCCACAGGCGTCGTTAGGAATGGATGGGGGTTGAACAGGGCAGGACATCACCTATGTGTGTATTCATTAGCATGTCATATCATAGATGGGTAGATGAGCGTTGACTTTATGCGCACGAAGTAAACCACGAGACGTTTTCCACGCACGCACCTGGCCAGAGGTCGTGTTCCAGTCCCAGCGGTTGCAGTAGAACTTCGTCATCTCGTCCCACTGCGGAGCCCCCTTGGTCACGGCGCCGTAGTTGGCCCAGTCTGTGGGACAAAGTGAGACGGACGGGCTCGGGATGTCGGCGGGCGTCTCCGGTGGGCGCACGCACGACGGATCGTCTGGCGTGAAGATGAAACCCTTAGCCGCCAGCTCGGGCTGGAAGGACACAGTCTCCTGCGTCAGTCGGCTCCAATCGAAGGTCTCATCCAAATCGCCCTGTATGCTGACGCCGACGAAGAATGGCTGATCCGGCTGGGCGCCGGGTGGCACATAGTCTTGCCCCTCTGCCGCGTACTGCGTCCCGATCTGGCACGCCTCTTCTAAGAGTGCAGCCGTGCCCGCGGCGACGTCCGTGTAGGGAACGCCGGTGAAGCCGCATTCGGGGAACCCGCCCCCGCACACACCGGGCAGCCAACATTCCCCAGTCTTGAGCGGATAGGTGGCCGTGACCCGCGTGTGCACCACGCCGTTGGCGTTGGGCGTCAGCGTCTCATTGGCGGGTGTGATACCATTGTTGTAGAAGATGCGCGGCATGTCAATGCCCCCAGAGAAGCCGTGCAGCACCTCCACTTGACCCCCAGGCTTGACTGGCACCACCAAATCAACCCAGTCGCCTTCCTCGAGGTTCGTGAAGAATATGGTCCAGACCTGCAGGGGCCGCGTAAAGACCAGCGCGGTGGTGGTATTGACGAGGAGGCTGGCCCAGCAAGTTTGATCGGCAATCGGGCGGTTGACGTCGAAAAGTCCTATCCCTGTCACGGTAGTTAGACAAATTAAGCCAAGGTGAGTGATAATTCGTGTGACAGGCTAGGCATCTCCCCACTCACGCTTGCTCTCACCTGGGATGGAGGTCTCGTTCGGGCTCAGTGAGAGGCGATAAAAGGCAACATTTTCACTGGTGTGCAAAAGGGCATGTAATGAAAAATGATAAGAGAACGAAAGCCAAGAGTGGCTCAGTGAGAGTCGATACAGAGCAACATTTACACTGGCGTGCGAAAAGGGCATGTGATGAAAGATGGAAATAGAACGAAAGCCAAGCGTGGGGACGCCCTTGCATGCATGCACTTACTTCTGGCTGCTGTACTGGTCCCAGTACCCCATAGAGTCCTGCTGCTGCGCACCCGCCGGACCGTTGTAGAGCGATACCGAGGTCAGCGGCTGGAGAAATGCAGATGCGTAGGCCGTGCTGCTGATTCCACAGGTCTCGCTCGAGCGGCACTCGATACGCCACTGAGGGGGACGCAGAAAGCGTGTAGACGTGGTCGAGATGACGGGCTGGCCCTCGCTCCCCTGCGCACCGGTGAGCGTGCCATCGATGTCTTGCACCACGGTGAGTAAGTTGCTGTGCCCAATGTCCACGAAGGGCAGGTCGCCAAGATCCTGGTAGATTTCATATGTAGGTTGGGCAGCAAGTGGGTTGTAATGGAGGATATACGCTTATATTACTACCACATCACATCGTAAAGTCATAAAGACATTACTATCATAAAAACGTTTCACGTACACGAACGAGCTTCGCCCACGGCGCCAGGGCCAAGTGCCGATTGGTGACGTTCTTAAAGCTGAAGCCCCGGGAGGTAAAGGTCACGGGATAGTACTGGCTATTGGGCAGCATCCAGGACATGGCGATGCTTGGGCCCTGAAGCCACCATACGCTGCTGGCCTTGCAGAATTCGTCCTCGCGGCATGGCTGCACATCACAGCCGATGGGCTCCTTGTCACAATAAGGATAACGCAGCCCATCCGTGTAATTCTCCACGTGGACGTGCGCCAGATGCACAGGTCCATCGTAGAAGTTGGCCGCCGAGCGCTGCAGGCTCACAGCATCGGACGGCCACCACATCCCGTTCGCGCGGTCGAAGATGGAGCAGCAGACGGTTGCACAGGGATAGAACGCGCTGACCCCGACCGCCGTCAGGTTGGTGATGAAGCCATTGTAGCCGGCACCAGACCCGGCCGTGGGGGACCCGCCCGAAATCAGGGTGGGCCCACGGGAGAGATTGTCCACTGCGATGGCGCTTACGAGGGCGGCGGGAAAATCGCGCATCCAGATGGAGCCGAAGGACTGGGTGGAGTGTGCGCGCACGCACTCAAACCTCTCTACGACCTGCATGCTCTTAGAGGCGGCACTCGAGATGATTCCATTAGACGCCGTTATGGGCTCCATAGTGCCAACTCCCGCGGGATCCAACGGTGTCCAGCTCCGTCCCACGCTGCGCGGATTCGGGATGCACACCATGTTGATGCCGGGGGAGGGTGCGTAGATACCATCTGGGTTGACGGCCGTACTTCCTGTGATCGTCAGATAGAAATGCGAAATGAGACTATGGTTTGTGATGCTAGTTTCGAGCAAATACGGAGCAATTACCTTCATTGTGCATGCTGTCCCAAGGCACATGCAGATGGTGTGTGTAGAGGAGAAAATGTGAGTGTATGCAACGTCCATGTTTATAAAAATCCAAGCAATACGCCATACCAAAATGTCGAGGAGGCCGCGTGATTATCCCGAAAGGCAATGTATCCGACCAATTGATTGGCGAAGGGCGATCCCTCCAGGGGGAAGTCCATGGACGGTGTGCCTCCCTGTGGGTGGCGAGGTCGCACAGTGCCGAACGCCCAGTAGCCTGCCTATGGTATGTATATTGAAAGTTGGATTCTTGCCCCTGTCCTACCTTGCGTGGGAAAACACATGTTGGACCTCGACACCCAAGCATTCACATTACCCCTAGACAGAACGAGCCGATGGCTTGGTTGCCAATGAACACATTGTGCGGGTTCGGGATCCAGAAGAGCGTCGGCTGTCAGTGTGAGCAAGGATATGTGGAACATGGTCAGCACACTGCTGGGTTCCCATCACATCCCCTCGTTCACCTTTGTGCAATCAAAGGCCTCGTGGATGCCGGGCGCCAAGGAGGGTGAGAGTTTGGACTGAAACACGCCAAAATCTGTGCCCGAAATGGCCTCCACTGCCAGGTTGTTGACGAATGCGTTCATCGTCTCGTCCCCATTCTGAATATAAAACATGTGTCCGATGGACCGGTGCGCCACATTTTCGCTGATGACTACGAAGCGCGTTTCATGCACCACAGCCGCCCGGGTGAAGGAGTCGACGATGGCGTTCCCGTGCACATACATTCCTTGAGCCCCATCAAGACCCAGGAAGTGGAAATGCACCGCGTAGCGGCCCAGCAGGCCACCCTGGACGTTCAACAAGCGAGATTAATCATGGAGTCAAGCACACAGCAGGCTTTCGCAGCTGTCCGTGTATATCCCGCAACATGCACGTACCTGTCCACCGTACTGGATCTTGGCCCCTTCCATGCGAAACGCCGTGGCGTCCCCGCTTCGCCACCACAGAATCACAGAAAAACGTGTAATTAGATGGTAATGCATTGCTACAGGTATCAAAAATCTTCCAAACGTTTTTCGTGCCCTTACCGGACGATAATCTGTACGCCATAGTAATTGTAGGGCGCAATGGGGAAGGGATCTTGGGACGTCGTGTTGCCGATGGCCAAGATCTGTGGATATGTAGGCAGACATGCATGCATTGCTCGTAAGACGCAGGTGACAGCTGAAGCCTGGTACTTTGTCGCCGTACGTACATTGATGCGACGTGACACAAGACCTATGCGAGCGGAGGCAGCCTGGCCCACCTCGACGCCGTTGCTCGCCTGAAGGTACCCACCCTGGTGCTTGTACTGATGGTTGAGAAATGGAAGCGCAATGAATGCTTCTTTTTCTGCCGTGTGTGCGCGCACTAACGTCCAACATACCTGGAGATTGGAGACGCAAAGACCGCTTGAGCAGGGCAGGCTAGGAGGGCAGGCCACCAGCACCGTGCGGTCATTGTGGTATGGCTCGAAGTCCGTGGTGGCTGTGTGATATTGCCACGGATCACGTATGAGTCTATGCCACTTGAGAGCACGTCGAGCGACGCGTAGTAAACACATAAAGAAGAGCAACTCACTTATTACCACTTCGTCTCCCACTTGCCACCCCGTTAGCGCTCTATCGGTCTGGACACATTGAGCCGCTGCCTGTGTGTTGTACAGGGTGGCCGTAAGGATGGCCCAAGAGGTGTCGCCCCGCCAGTCTGATGCGTTGAACTCGGGCGCGCCTGGTTTCATTTGAAGTGATGGTTGCTGTTAGAGACTGCTCCATTCACACAGAAACATGCTCATAGCTCACACACCCGTGATGTTGAGATCGCGCAGACCAGGGGCAAATTTCGGCACGCCCTTCCTCCCATGGATATCTAACGTGCCGCCACGACCGACCGCGATGGCCTTGCCACCGTAGGCCCCTTTTGGTTGAAGGTAAATGTCATTGTTAGAGAATTAGATTAAGTAGCGGTGTGTGCGGCTTCAGACAAAGACGCCATCCGTTTGCTTGTGTACGGCAATACACACCTCCACAAGAGGGTCCATTCACGTCAAGATAGTTGCCGTTGCAATTGGTGTCAGTTTTACCACAGGAAAGTGCCGACGAGCAGTAGGCGCTGCTGCCTGGACAGAAGAGGTAGTCTGTGGCGTACAAGTTGTTTGGGGAGGAAAGGCAAGGGTCCAACCACGCGCCAAATACTTTAATTGTAATGTGCTCCGTCGATATTGGCTGGGCCTCGGTCCCAATCTGTACGACACCGCCATCCTCGATGATCATGCCCGGGATCGTGAGGGTGATGTCCTGAGATGGTTGGCAGGCGATGGGATCGAGACGTCAGGTTCGGTTGTTCGGCCTGGCTCACTAATACTGACGGGACCGATATCTTTACCTGGTCCTGGAAGATGAGACTGGAGTTGCCATGCACCAGCAAGGGGCTCGAGCAGGTGTAAGTGCCAGCGGCCACTATGTACGTCTGGCCGTCATTCATGTTGGGCTTGCTGCACGCGAAGGGCACTCCGGCCGCACAAGGAACCTGTGGGGGGCGTTGGGAGGCTTGATCAGCGCATCATGCAACGGGATAGTGTCATCGCTGTGTCATACCATAGTCACCACGCACCTGAAGCAAGCCGACCAGGAGCAGCAACCTTAGCACTGCCGTCCCATACCAGTGCGGAGGCCGTGGGCGGAACGCCCATGGGCTCCAGACGCAGGCCATTGTGACTGTCTTTCCTGTGGATGATCGAGATAAAAGGGTGGGTTGACCCTCCATCAAAAAGCAAGGTCGCGTTGGTCATTGAATATCCGACATCCCCCCTCCGCTCCCCCTCCGCAATGCAGGTTGCGGAGAGGTGGGTGTTGATGCTGATCATCACTCCCATGGGCCCACAGTCTGGCGAGGAGGCTCATAGCGCGTGTCGTGTAGAACCGTTGAAATGCTTAAATTGCAATAAACGCATCTTGTAACCACACAAGTGCATCGCTCACATACATATTACTCCGCTCACCATCCGAATAGTCTCATTTCATTGTTTGTGGAGGGAAAAATCGGATTGAGGGCAAAACAATTACACATGCGCCATCGCTGGTTGACCAGCGTCGAAAGCAAAGGACCGAATCTTACCCTTACTCACACATTCACAAACGCATACCACGGCTACGTTGTCCTTGCATTGAACAACTCTTATCCTCGCAAATAAAGATGCATTAGTCACTTGTCAGGAGTGTTTGCAGATCCTAGGTTAGCTTGATGCAGAGCGGCAAGGTGGGCACGCCGCCTTAAAAGTCCATTTCTCCGTCACTCGGGCGTATTCGCTTTTGCTCTCCATTTCGGCACACACTTTTTCTTTGGAATGTATTGAAAGCCGCTTTTTTGTTGAGTTTCATCAGCTCGCCGCTCATTATTCAGGGAATGCCATTTATTCACCGGGGATTGCTCGCTTGTGCTTTCTACATCGAAACTAAGAGCTTTTTTGAGAATGTGGTGAATGCTACTCCTTAGATTGAGCTCG